GTAAGCTTAAATGTGTATGAATGCAAGCAGTAACAGCTCTAAAACAGATAAAGCAAAAAGTCATATAGCTGAAAGAAAAACAGACAAATCCACAATTACAGCTGAAGATCTCAAGACTACTCTCTCAGTAATGGATAAGACACAGAACACTCGAACAATACTAACTGCCTATTTGAACCAATTGGCACTTACAGAACATTGTACCCAACAAGAGCAGAATATATATTCAAGTGCAAATGGAACAGTTACTAAAATAGACTACATTCTGGGTCATAAACAAGTCTCAAGTTTAAAAGGACTGATATTATAAAGTGTGTTCTCTCACCTCAAAATAATTAAACTGAAAATTTTTTTAAAGTTATGTGGAAAATCACCAAATATTTGGAAACTGACATACTTTTAAATAAACAATGGGCCATACAAAAAATAACAAGGAAGATTAGAAAGTATTTTGAAGACACTGAAACAATATAAAAATCTGTAGGGCATTACTTGCTTATATTAGAGAAAAAAAGTTTCAAATCAATGAGCTAAGGCAGGAGTTGGCAAACTTTTTCTGTAAAGGGCCAAATGGTAAACATTTTAGGCTTTGCAAGCCACACAGTTTCTAACCTAACTACTTAACTCTGCTGTGGCAGTACAAAAGCAGCCATAAACAATACGTAAATGAGTGGATATGGCTATGTTCCAAGAAAAATTTACAAAAATAGGCAGTGGGTCAGATTTGGTACAGGGAACACAGTTTGCTGACCCCTGTTAGAATATCAGCTCCATAAATGCAGAGAATTTTGTCTGTTTTGTTAACTATTGCATCCCCCAAAACATTGTCATTTATATTTAACAGTGCCTGAACCCTTAATATATGCCAGATCAATACATGTTGAATGAATTAGTGAATTTAATCCTCAGAACAAGCAGGAGTTAAAAATTGTCATTTTACCAATGAATATAGTATAACAGTGATACACTACATGATCAATAAGTAAAGAACCAGTATTTAAGCTCAAGTATGTCTAATTCCAAAGTTTTATGAGCTTTCCACTACATTACACTAATAAGACAAAGACATTACTAATTGTAAAAGTTTCATATGACCTCATATGGATTTTCCACCTGTCTTTCTTTTCCTGAACCTCAGGACCAAATGAACAATACACTAAAGTTAAAACAATATCTAGAGATTTATGCTTATTTCTTCACCTATGTCATAATATATTTAAATATCTATATTTTGGATTAATATTTGGATTACAATTGATGCAACTAAACAGATTGAATCTTGAACACAAACTCCCTTGTAGTTTTATAACCAGGAATACTAGAGACTTATTTAAAACAGGTAGCATGTCTAGAGAACCCAATCAATTTTATGTGCTCAAATATGTAGCACATATGAGTATGACATTAATTAGTATTTATTCTTTTCAAATGCACAAAGATGTGAAAAATGTGAGGGAGTAAAGGGAAAAAAAAAGACACCAAAAGTGTCCCATTCTTTCTTGCCCTAAGAATGCCTCATTCAATCCTCTCCACATAGAGGAGGGCTCTTGGCTCTTGTGCCACTCACGTACTGCAGCCCTGTCCAGTGGGCTGCTATTTTGTGCTTTCATAACCAGCTCTCATTGCTGACCATACACATCTGCTTCCCTTCATAAGTCAATAATCAATGCCAGCTGTTCTCCAAAAATAGGCATTCAGAAGGCACTAGAGCAGCTCTGAATATAGATTCAGCGGACGGCACATCTTTCCATCATTTATTTGCTTGCCTGGGGTTTTACCATCATCACAATCAACAGGGAGCTTTAAGGAGCCAACTACTGTTTTGTCAAGTTTTCCTCCTTTGGATGCTCAGGGTAGAACTGTTAAAAATCTCTGTACATGAGACCAACACTGCATACTAAGAAGCTATTAAAGCGTAAGACAAATAGCACCCACACTGTTTGCTTGCCCTGAAGGCTTAATGCTTATTGTAATCTGATGCTGTAATGATTGATGATGATGTCATGATGCTGAGAATTCAGCCACTGAAAGATTATTAAACTCAGGAAAAAGATAAAAGTAAATGAAAAATGATATAGTAAAGTTGAATTTTTCAGCTTCTTGACTGCCAGATCTTGCAATAAAAACATATTTAAATTATATAAGTCAACAAATCTTTGGGACAAATAAAAATAGATAGCTTACTGAAATTACATAAGGAAGGTAAGCTTTATCTTTTCCATAACCAATAAATTAAAAAAATGTGCCCTCAAAGGGCTTAATTTTGGTGCTCGAATAGGGACTTAGGATAAGCAGGTTGTGCTGGCTCCTGTAAAATCACCTCGCTTATACCAGTGTATTTTAAGGTAAATATTTCCTGTTTAATTTTAAGTAATAGAGCATTACTTAATAGCTACTATTTAGAGAGTACTTGCAGTGTTCACTTCATTTTCTTCTCACTTAATCCTAGCCAAAACAAGTGCTCCAGATCACATAATTTGTAAGGGGTAGGGCTGAAATTAAAACCAAACTAAACCTCATGGAGTTGATTCTGAAGCTGCCCTGAGTCTCAAACAACGAAAATATGCACGGTGCATCCCATACAAAGAAGTTAGGAAATGATTATCAGTTACAAAAGCAACAAAAAAATTGCTAATCAGAAGTAACACTACCAACTTCCACTACCAAAACAGTGGAACCAAACCCCAGAACACTTCTTATGCTTAATTTTTCTCAACTAGATTTCCATGATGTTCCTACAGAACTCCAGAGCTGTTCACCCCACTAGGTCCATTCCTTCGGGAACTCATGGGCTCCAAGTTATATTGAGAAAAGTATAAAGTAATAAACATTTGTATTTTAATCATTCACAGGAATCTTAACAGGATATGTAAAAATACGATCAGCAAAGCTTTCCTATAAATAACTACATAGTGTACACTGTCACTATGAGAACTTCCAGCCTTACTACGTGCTAAATCATAATATAAACAAATGTTATACTAATATAAAGATGCCCATGTTCCCCGAAGGGAAGAAGATATTTAACACATTTCTGCTTCATATCCAGGACTGCTGTGCAAACTGATTTCAAAAATCATTAGTACAGAGAAATAGATGTATTTAAAACCCTATTGCATTTGTTCATAGGTCCCAATGCTTTTCTCTTCCTTGCCAGGAATCTGCAACTTCTTATAAGAACAACAACCTATTTACCAGGTACTATGTGTCAAGCTCTGTGCTATGTACTTTGTATGCATTGTCACATGTATTCCTTCATACAGTCCTATAAACTAGGTACTATTATATGATTCCCATTTTACAGATGAGGAAAAAATAGGAAATTAGCTCAAGTTGCACTGCCAGCAAGTGTCAGAAATAAGACTTTAATCCAGGACTATCTCACTACAGGGCCTTGCCCTTACCCACTAAGCTAAGAAAACCAAATGAGACTCCTAACGTTATCTGGTCTCAAACCCTCACTTTATAGATGAGGGCATTTTAAGCCAAAGAGCATAAGTGAAATGTTCAAGGTCACACCTTGATTACTGGTAGAGTCAGTGCTAAAATCCAGGGCTTGCTTTCCTATACTCACTCTACTACCCCATATGGCCCTTTTCTAAAATTTGAAAACAGAAATACATTATAATATCCTACACAAGTATTTCCATAAACTTTCTATCTGACTCACTGTGTGATACTCAGGAGACCCTCCCTGGTTTTTTCGAAGCAATCAAAAGCTGCTAACCCTTGTAACTATGGCTGATTCTGAAAGATCAATATTTTTACAACTAAACTAACAATATAATCCACAATTTGTTAAGAGTTCTTACTATGATGGCTCAATGATGTTTTTCTCTTACATTTTAAAATGAGGTGAGTTGTAATCAATCTTTAATATGCTGGTTCTCAAACCTGGTCACATATTAGAACCATCTGAGTTGCTTTGAATGATCCAGTGTCCAGGCTACAACCCAGATTAATTAAATTAGAGACTACCTGGGCTGGAACCCATGCATTGAAATTTCTTAAAACTCTGAGATGATTCCAATACACCACCAAGTTTGGAAACTAGGGTTTGAATAATTATCAAAACTTAAACAACATTTCAGGTGACATTAGATCAAATGAGCTAGACTAACATGATCTCTAACACTGTTATCAACTGCATTAATCCTGCTTCCTCAAAAAATTACTAGAAAACAAATTTAAGAGATTTCAAGAAAACTGTCATATCATAGACCACCAGCCTCAGTTATTTGATAAGATTCTTCTTAGCTGGTTCTATAGAAAAACATAGAAATCTTTGAATACACACACAAAAAGCAACTGAGCTACCAGCCAAAATGAGCTCATAATCATAAACATACCCAATGCTGTTTCCATGCATGTACTTGGGAAGCAACAACCTGGTCTACAATGAACTACACTCATGAATTAAGCAGTGATAACAGTCCTCTTTCCAAAGCTAATTCTAGGAGGTTTCGTCCTTGATTTACGTCATTAAATGACAACTGCGCATTTCACAATGATAGTAAACTCTCATGCTTTGAATTCCATAGTAGAGGACAATGATTATGGGATCACATAACCAATCAAGATGATTTCAATCACTGATTAATAGAATTAACCATTAACAACATTAATTAACAATTAACAATGCTAACAAACTTATTAATTGCTCTTCCTAGTTTAAAACTTTAGTTATGGAAAATATTTGTATTTCTTACTTTCAGAGTATAATTAGCCCTTTTTCTGTTTTTTAAGTCTTCTCTAACTTGGTTTCTTCTAAGGAAGATGTTTTGGCTCTGATCTTGCCTAGTTTCAGTCCCAGCTGAAGAGTAAATTGGCAAAGCTGAATACTTCTCAGTGCTTACTTAATTAAAATTTGATTCTAGTAAGAAATATATATTAAAATATTTCATTTTCAAAGAATTGTGATCTCATGGCCCTTTTTCTTAGTATTTGAAAAGTAACTATTCTGATCCAAATGTAATTAAGAATAAAAAATGTCTACTTACAGGTATCATCCAGTTAGCCAGGTCACCATATTTGGAAACCTGCATCGCTCCTAGCATTGTCAGATCGACATGTCCCCTGAGAAAGAAGGAGGAAGAATAAAGTGAACCTCACAATCCTTTGTCCCCTTTGTTTGAACTTGCTAGCAATCAGAATAACTTCATGCCACCAAAATATATTTGCTTCCCCCCACCACACAACTGATTTCCTAATAGAGCTCCACGCTGACAGAGAAATAATCATTAAGAATTCTTTTGTGAAAAAAACGTTATAGTACATATTGGCTCAATAACAAACTATGAACAGGTGTACACAGGAAGATTGTTTCCTTCAGTGAGGCAGAATGTGACTATCTGAACACAAACACTAGCTAGAAAGTGAACTCAGTTTGAAGAAAACGATAGAATCCTCAGAAAGCACCTTATAAATGCTTATTTCAGTCTGGTTAGCACAAAGACATGGATTCCATTTTGGGGGTTCTTTTCCTAACAGTGGACTGGATATTCAATGTCCAACATTCGATGTGAATAATTTCACATCATGCAGCCAAACAAACTCCTGATAGTTTTCTGGCTGGGAAATGTGACTGTGTTTCAGAGCCTTGCTAACACACTCAGAGGATGACTCAGCTCATTCCACACAGTGTGAAACATGAGGGGCTCTGTTATTACGTACCCTCTAATCATTGCAAATGATTCATCGCTGGAGAAAAAAGAGGCTCCTGGAAGAATAGTAACTGTTTCCTTGCCTAAACACACACACACACACAAAAGAAAGAAAAGGCTATTAGATTTCTAAGAGTATCATGGTGAACAGAGGTCCGTATCTTCTCCATTCCCAAAAGAACTTAAACTCCCTTTACCAAAATGCAGTGACATAGCAGGTGGGGGGACATAATAGGAACCTTTTGTGGTGGAAAGTATTTTGTCACTGACATTGCTTTTGCCTTTGCATGATGATAATAAAAAGCAGATCACTTTTCGTTTTCTTATTGTTTGGAAATTCTCTACAGCAGCAGTCCCCTTTTTGGCACCTCAGCACGGTTTCGTGGAAGACGGTTTTTCCACGGACTGGGGGATAGGGATGGTTTCAGGATGAAACTGTTGTTCCTCATCAGCTTATCAAGCATTAGGTTACCATAAGGAACGGGCAACCTAGATCCCTCATATGCACATTTTACAATGGGTTCGGTTGGGCTCCTACCAGAATCTAATATTGCTGCTGATTTGAGAGGAGGCCAAGTTTAGGTGGTAATGCTCATTGGCTTGACTGCCGCCCACCTCCTGCTGTGCAGCCTGGTTCCTAACAGGCCATGGACCGGTACTGGTCCACGGCCCAGGGGTTAGGGACCCCTGTTCTACAGGAAATGCACTCCTCTATTGTCTATACCTCTCCAGCCTCTCACCATCCCCATTCCCTTTACAATCCTCTGCTAAATACTACTTAGGAATGAGGAGGAAGGGAGTTCTGGGGTAACACCTGTCAGAATCCAATGCTACTGTAAGTCACTGGGACAGAGAGACTGTGGAATCAGTATGAACATAAGAAGGAATGCAATTTTGAAGAGAATTACACAGGAGATGCACCGCAGTTTCTTTTTTAATCAACAAATAACTTTCAGTGATAAGAATAACTTCTGAGACTCTAATGTACAGCATATAGTATTAACTATAGTTAATACTATACTATATAATTGAAATTTGCTAGAAAAGTGGATCTTAAGAGTTCTCACTACAAAAAAAAGGTAACTATGTGAGACGATGGATGTGATAATTAACGATTGTGGTAATCATTTCACAATGTATATGTATATCAAATCATCACGTTATACATCTTAAATATAAACAATTTTCATTTGTTAAGTATATTGCAATGAAGCTGGGGAGAAATAAAACTAAAATTAGAAAACACATATAGAAAAAAAGGAACCACCTAATTCCTTTATTTCATTTGGCCTGAACTCTCCTTTTCATCTCTCTCCACTTGTCTTTGTTTTTCTGACTCATCTGTACCCTCTTGCCCCATAAGCTTCTAATAAAACCACAGGATTCTCATAAAATCAGGGAATAACATGGTAATACTGGCCAATGTATTTAAGGTTAACTTCCAAGAGGTCTCCTTGGAAGGACATCTCCCAAGACTTTCACCTCATAATGAAGTTCAGAGCTGGAAAAGATTTTCAAGGTCATCGACTCCCCATAGAACTAATAAAATCACCTGACTCATATCTAAGCCGCTCCCATCTTGTGATCTATTTCCTGTCTATTCAGGAGCTTTAGGGGCCTGGGAATAGCTTCTGGTCTCAACCAGGAAGGTGCTAACATACCACTGTGCCAAAGACAAGTCACCTGTTTGAGAACACCCCATGCATGGCCCCAGTATAATAGGACAGACAAAAAGAAAGGGAAGCAAAACTGTTATTCCAAAATTGGAAAGGGAATAGCTCTCAGAAACAAAAGGACCACAAGCAGTCTGAATATCCCTAGCTGTGCAACACAGTTATATCCTCAAATTCTCAAGTCGTTCCCAAAAGCTAACTTTTCCATCAATATCCCCCTCCATTCAAACTTGAGTATGGAGAAAGAGTAAGCTTATTTATAAATAAATAAATATTTCATCTTGATATAAATATATATCTCTCGAGGGAGTTTTATTCTAAATAATGGAAACATCTTTGTATCTTTTAAAGTACCACAAAACTGAAAAGTTTTTAAAATACTTCCTGGTATGGTTAGCAGGGGCTTTTAAACAGCATGTAAGACATAGTGGATTAAATTAGATAATGCATGCAAAGTCCTTACTCTAACTTGCCTGGATCAGAGAAAGGGTTCTATAAACATCACCTTTAATTATCGCCATTTTTGTTATTCCTCTCTCCAAAGCTACTTATAAAAGAGACAATGCCATTGCCCCTCTAGGGATAAATGTCACAGGACCAAGCAATTGGCTTATATGGTGGGGTTGGACGGCCAGCCTGTGTGAGCTCCAGGTTTTAAGACAGGCATAACACAACTAAATCTTATTCTAGACACAACGTCTATAACCTGCAAATTCAGATCCTCATCAGTCCTATAAGGCAGCAAGTCGAAGAGGAGGAATTTGTAGGACAAAAAGGAAGAAAAACATTAAAAATCCCAGTTCTTTTTTTTTTAGGAGCTAAATAACACTGACTTCCAAAAGATAATCTGTACTGGCTGATAATACATACAATGCGTATTTACCATGTTACAGGAAACTGAGATCAATGGGAAGAGCTTTGGATCTCCCTATATTATTTGTGAAGCATAGTTTTATTAAAGAGCCCAGAAAACAACTCTCTTGAAAAAACATTATCAAGGCCTCTGCTAATACATTACAGCATCTTAAAAATTACATTCTTTTGAAGCAAGGTTAATTTTCAGCATTTTTAAACATCTAATATCTAAACAAAAATAAGTATCCTAAAGTTGAATCCATGGTTTTCACATACAGTGTCCAAGTTTGGTCAAGAAAAGTCATAACTAAAGACAAGCAACATAAAGAGGGCTTTCTTATTTGGCTATTCCTGATTGATTTCTGTCTCCTCCAATTTTTCTTTATGTATATCTGAATTTTTCATATTTGGGCAATAGAGTTATCAATTTCACGGTCACTGAGTCCTTTGGCTCATGATTTAAAGGTCATCCACACAATAGTAAATGCCTACTATATGCCTTAAACAGTGTTATACACCAAATTTGGGTGATCTAAACTAGTGGTTTGCAAACTTTAACATTCATCAGAATCACATGGAAGATTTATGAAATGCAGAGTTTCTAATTCAGTAGGTGTATGGTGAAGTCTGAGAATTTCATTTCTAAAACATTTCCAGTGATGCTGATGCTGTGGGTCTGGGGACCACACTTGGACCACATTGCCCTAAGCAAAAGGAACTTACTATACAGCAGGAGAGATAAACAAATAATTACAAGGCAAAAAGTGATATGCTTCTCAGAGAGACACTAGATATGTTGTGGGTTTAGGGGAAGGGCATTTCTGAGCTACAGCAGGATTTGGAGAAGAAAAATGAGCTAGAACTTGAAGGATAAGCATAATGAATGTTGATAGAAAGTTATCAGTAAGGAGATGGGGTAACAATGGAATGGAGCAGAACAAAATCTCATGAAAGACACACCAAGAGCAAAGACATGCAAAGAAGAGTATGAGCCATAATCAGAAAACACCCAGCAGTCCAGAATGGGTACACAAAAATATCCTTGAAGGGTACAGCAAGACAAAAAGCCATAATGGTTGGTTGCAACCACTACAGAGACCTGGAATGCTGTGTTATCTGTACTTTAGACTGCAGGCCTGTGATTCTTCAGATGTGATACATATACCTCTAGAGCAGAGTTTCTCCTGCTTAGCACTATTGACCATTGGGCCTGGTGAACTCTGGGGGATGGGGAGACTGTTCTGGTTGCTGTAGGATGTTTATCAGCATCCCTGGCCTCTACCTACTAGATGTCACTCCCCCAGGTGTGACAATCGAAAATGTCCTTAGACATTGCCAAATGTCTCTGGGGGCAAAATCAGATCCCACCTCATTGAAAACCACTAGTGTAGAGGGACATGGCAGGGGGCCAGGGATATTAAACATGGTGATTCTTTCTAAAGCAACTTTAATTAAAAGTCAAGTCATTTAAAATACTGTATACTAAAATAAGAAAATATTAAGAAATGAAGAACGCAAAACACACAATACAGAAGCAAAAATATGAGACTTAGAAATTTCACAACTGCATTGGGTTAATCTAGGTTAGAGCCCAGATCTTGATGGGACCTCTGGAATGTTCCAAGCACTGCTGTCTGCACCTCTGTGCAAGTGAGGTTATCAGCAGGTATAACTCAGTGTATACAGAAGAAGGCCAGGGTCACAAGCAGGAGACTGGGTATGAACTCAGTCCCTAGCAATGTTATCTTGAACCCGTCACTTCAATTTTCTAGACCTCAGTTTCCCAATTTGTATAACAAAGTTTCATCTGAGGTTCCAATGGTATAATACATGTGAAAAAGTATGCTCTAAGCCATATAATACTATACAACTGGTAGTTCATTTTTACATAACCTTATAAGACTTTTTAAAAAGAGATCCTTGGAAATAGTTCTATTATAATTTTGAATTTTTAATATACCAATTATATCCAGAAACATAACTCTTTATTCAGAGATTTCCATAAAATGCTTTGAAACTAACACAAATAATGGGTTGGTCTTCCAGTTAATTTTGGGAATTGAGGAAACCACCAATTTATATTCTAGGTTCTCCAGCTTAAAGTATTTCCTCCCTAATTTAAAATCAAAAGTATCAAAGTATCGAAACTCCCAAAAAGGACTTTGAAAAAGTTATAATATTATTAAACTAACTTGCAGCTTGGCTTCCCATAAGCAATGAATTCTTGTTTTATAAAGTAGTTTATAAATGTGGCACTTCATGTGTTGAAGTTGAAATGTAAGATTAGTGGAAATATAAAATTGGTGGCTTCATTTGGACTGAGTTACTTCTAAGCTCTATGGAATCGGAAAAACCTACTGTCAAACCACGTTGAAAAAGTTAACAACTTTTCCAAGGAAAGTGGGTTTTATAAACTGAAGCCTGAAATTTGGAACATGCAGTTATTCATTTTGCAAATAACTCACTAACATCATAAATTAATTAAACCAAGCAGCAAATATTTTCACAGATCAATGAGCTCATGCTAAAGGGTACAGTACAATTAAATTACAGCCTTGGTTAAATGTCATTGCTTTATCACAGTAGGCCTTTCAGAGTTGAGTCGTGTTAACTAATTCAACTATTCAACCAGAAGCTGTTTCACTTCCAAAAATTCTAAGTATCAAACATCAATTTTACTTGGCAGCTGGCCTTTATGTTCAGCTCATATTACTTGTCATCTGAAATTTACACATACTATTTTTGAACGCAAAGTAAGAATAACAGTTTTGCAGGGGCAGAATGAATAAAAGAAGGATACAGAAAATCCTGCTAGAACCTAAAAATTAGCTTCTTATGGGCAGCTGCACTCCAGGGAAGATACACGGCTCCAAAGTGGTGGCAGTGTTGCCTCAAGCATAGGCAGTGAAGATGACCAAAAGACCTGACCTGTTCTTCCTCCTCTAGGCTGTTAATATATGAGGCTATCTCCCAGTCAAAGAAAAGGCTAGTAATAAAAGGCAAAGCATATGCCTGTAGGAACAAAAGGGAAGACAAGGCTCTAGTCTCTAGTTCAACAAAACTACATTTATTACATCACCAGATCGTACTTACCAGCAGAGAACCTCCTTAAGCTCCTCTCCTGCTCCAAGGAGAACTAGAAAATAGTAAGCATCACCACCAACAAAAACCCCGGTTTTTACCAGATCTTTTCTTTTTGCTGCTATGGATTCACTCCCACCCTTCTCTATCCTAAGAAGGCTGACCTACTTTGACTAGAGATTCACCAATGGAAGGCACAGGCAGGCAACCCAGCAGTGGAGACCCTCCACCCAACCAGGTTGCTGTGATTTGACTGAGTTATTCTACCAAAGGTCACAGTTCCTGTTAAGTGGCCTTTGGTAGAGGAACTCAGTCAAATCACAGCAACCAACCCCATAAAGCCCAGGGGTGATAACTCCCTGTGGAATTTTACCATCCTTTCGTGGTCTCTTTTAATCCTATCCATGCCTTTGTAAATTGTCCCTTCCTCTAACTCTCAATTACCCTATGTAAGAATGTTCTCTATTCACAGGCAGGACCCTGATTGATTGACCCATCAAAGCTCTTCCACTAAATGTGCCGTCATCTGCATTTCCCCCTTTATCTTGTTCATTCCTGAATGAGGGAAGACCTAAAAAAATCTTGTCTCCCCTCCTCAACAATGAATACTATGGAGTGCTCTCCAGGAAAAGACAAAGAATTGAGTCCAAACTCTTATTATTTAGCACAATATTAACAGCAAAGGGAAGGGCTAGAAATAAGTGAGCTTACCTGCATTGATGAGATCTGCATCAGCTTCGTGTTGCCGTGGATACGGACCCTGTCAAATACAGCATACATCCAATCAGTAAATGAAGATTCTCACTGAATCACATATTAAAACTGTAATATAAGTAACTTCCCTAAAAACCCTAGAAATTTATCATCCGAAGACTAGAGGTAAACTTTTGAAAAATAATTCTGTTGTGTCCATGGCTCTGTTTCTTATGTTAGTCTTTTCTAACTAAAGTTGTGATTGGGCAAATGAAAAATATTTTCTAAAAATTACCAATTTAAAAGAAATGCTATACTATTAGAAATACAAGTCCATAAAACAAAAAGTAATTATTTAGTCCCTACTATGAAAATGTATTAGAAATGTAGGTCAACAAAACTAATGGTAAAACTAATGTAGGCCAGGGCAATGGCTCATGCCTGTAATCGCAGCACTTTGCGAGGCTGAGGCAGGAGGATCACTTGAGGTCAGTTCAAACCCAGGCTGGCCAACATAGTGACACCACATTCTCTTAAAAATATAAAAATCAAAGAAAAAAGATTTAGTACCTACTATGCAACTAATGTTATTAAAAAACTTTTCCATGAGGATTAATTAATACAAACTACATCACATTATTTGGCTAGAAGGACCTGGAGAGACAAACTTTTAGCTTTCTGATTTGTAAACTGTAGGCCTGAATTTGGGTTTCTAATCTTACTCCTCACTACATCTAAGGTTTGATGTACTTATGTCCTTATGTTCCTTTTGCACAGCTACTCTCAGTAAAGTTTTTAAAATTTTCCATATGTTTTTATAACATAACTCTATTTAAATAGGGCAAGTAGTTAAAGAATATCACATATATTCGATGAAAAGGGAGGAAACTATAAAAAAATAAAAAGGCATAAGATATAAGATGGAGCCAAAAATGAAGAAATATTATTGGCTGTGAAATTTTTACATACTTTCTAGAGAGAGACCACAAATTTATCCTGTAAACTGAAGTGGCAACTAATGTTCAGAACTATGTAAATTTTCCTTTAAACACCGGCCACGGATAACCCACAAATTTATTTCCCTTTTCTACAAGTATACATAAGTAGCAAACCTGCACGTTGTGCACATGTACCCTACAACTTGAAGTTTAATAATAATAAATAAATTTAAAAAAAAAAAAAAAAACTAGGAATTTGATCACTCTATAATCTCTAAGGCACCTTAAAAACGCAAATCTTTGGCCAGGTGCAGTGGCTCAAGCCTGTAATCCCAGCACTTTGGGAGGCCAAGGCGGGTGGATCACAAGGTCAGGAGATCGAGACCATCCTAGCTAACATGGTGAAACCCCGTCTCTATTAAAAATACAAAAAATTAGCCAGGCATGGTGGCGGGCACCTGTAGTCCCAGCTACTTGGGAGGCTGAGGCAGGAGAATGGCCTGAACCCAGGAGGCAGAGGTTGCAGTGAGCCAAGATTGCGCCACTGCACTCCAGCCTGGGCGACAGAGAGAGATTAGGCCTCAAAAAACAAACAAAAAAAAGCAAGTCTTTGACTTCCACATGAATCTGCTTTTATCCAAACATATATCATTTTTGTGTCTGAAAATGTCACGATTGTTGCCTCAATGAGTATCAACTATATGCCCATGATCATAATTTATATTTGAATTATGAATATGTTACCATATGCATAATTTCTATTGCATTAACAGTTATGATCTACTGAGAAGTAAAAGATTATGAATAGACAAACCAAATCCCTGCCATTGTTAATTAAATTGTCATACAGGAAGTAAAAAATATATGATTTTATTATAATAATGAAAAAAAAATGGCCTAAGAAAACTGAGCTCATTTGGATGCTTAATCTTAACGAAGAAAAAAATTTAACCTTTTGGACAATAGGGCCTCGAAAGGAGAATGAGATGAGAACTTCTACAGTTTTTTGAGGCAATCAACTCAAACAATGTCCCTGTCCTAAAGTAGAAACCTTCCTCTTCAGTTTCTCCCTCTGAGGTTTAATTTTATTTAACATAGAACTATTGAGAACCTTCATTATCTTGTCCAACAACAGAAGGATGAGAAACAGTTTACACAGGAAATCATGAGGTCTCTCTGAATCAGGTTCCACATGAGAGACGCAGTCAGAAAGCCCAGAGTCAGGAACGTACCATCTACTACATAAAATACAATACTATCTTGCTCACATTTTAAGGGGAAAATTCAATATTTTATTATGATAAAAAGAAAAATAAGGTTGGGCACTTTAAGCAACAACTCAGATTTCACTGTGTGTGACGGATGCACTAAAATCTCCAGTTTCAGCGTCATACAATTTATCCATGTAACCAATAGTCACTTGTACCCCAAAAGCTATTGAAATAAAAATTTAATAAAAAATTTCACAACATGAAATATCTCATTCTTCATTAAGATTGGATTTTAAAAAACAAATTTTCATCTTACCAAACCCAGGACTCCATTTTCACTTTGAAGATGAACAGTCATATTTGGGCTGATAAAGTTGCTAGCCAGGAGAGGGATTCCTATGCCCAAATTAGCTAGGAAAAAAAGATGTTAAGGTCCAGCATATAAAAGGTAGAGAAGTTATACCATAAATCTTCTACATATATAGACTCTAATCACCCTCTGGGCATTATTTTGTAATTTTTCAAAAAAAGTATCTTTTTCAATAACATTAATATGCTTTCCCACCAATATCAAAGTAGTGGCCTCAGAAGCTAGCCATTTGTTACATTTTAACAAAAATATAAGCACATTTTCATTAATGTGCTCTATAAATTTGGGTTGATGTATTATGACTGATTATTAAACACGGCTTGACTTTTAAAGAATTATTTTCACTATTCAAAACTCCTGCCAAAAGATCATTTTTAATCATCATTATTGATAAATGGAGTTACCATTTTTAAATTTTAAAAAAGTTTTCTGACAATACCAAAATTTCTGCCTAAAAGTATATCAGATCCTTTGGGTCTCTATGGTAACATTCATTGGTAACTGAATGTTCTGTGACATAAAAAGAAAAGAAAAGTGGGGAAGAAATTACATTTCAGCAAATACAATTGAGCTCATATATAAAGTAGCTTTGTTAAGGCATCAAAGAGTTAACTGAGGTTGTTGTATCTTCTTCCTTAAATGATCAAAACATGAGTGACGATGATTACTACTCAATGATGTAGGTTCAATCCTGCCTATCAACACAGGCAGGCTGATCAGATCAAAGACACACTGCCCGGAACTACTGCCCACTACTGTTCACTACCACTGCACACCAAATACCTCACCAGAACTAGTACAAAGAATGATGGCACTCTGATGAGATTCTAACAGTGAAATCTTCATGAATCAAGGCCAGAGGAGGTTTATATATGGTGCCATATTATAAACTACAAAGGCCAGCAGTACAACTCAATGACCCAGGTCACTTCTTATGGATACAGTAAATCTATGAAGCTATGATTATAGCTACCTGATTTACCGCTAATGTTCTATCACAGTCTAGTACAGTGTTGTGATTTATTTCTCAATAATGCACAAAACACATTGGAATATTAATTCCATTATGAGCAGATATTTTTAGGACAGAGCAACCCAAATTACAAGCCTGGTACCTCAACTCTTTCATCATATTCTAGCATTCTCTCAGTTCTTTAATATTTAAAGCCAAACACCAGGGAGGAAAAAAGTCTATGTATTCTGGGTTGAAAAAAAGTAGGAGATACGGAAAGACCATTTACATAAACTGATTTGCAAATATTTTTCACAGGCAATACAATAACTGAATAAAGAACACCTAAAATCAGTATTATAGTCAGCGTTTAAATATCAATGGTAAGTCAGGGTAAGACGGGTTGAGAAGAAAGTCCAGTGACCATCTTTCACCTACTAATTCAACTTGGTTGACTCCACACCTTGCTGATACAAGAGCTGGAAGAGCAGCAACATGCTATTCTTTTCCCTTATGTGGGTTTGCACCATAACACAAGGTGTAAACTGAAAAATGAACAAAAATGAGGCAGAGGTAAAAAGAAAGGAGAAAAAGAAAAGTTCTCCCAGTCAAGATCACAGTCTGGAAGACTGACATTCATGGACTAGGGAAGCTCAGAGAATGGAGACACTTGTCATGTCTCTCATTCTTTCGGTCCCAGGTCTTTAAGTATGGCTTTACTGTATCCACCATTCAGCAAAAATTCATTTTATCATATGCTATGTGTATTTATATGTATTATTTGTATTATATAATTCAATGTCTGCTGTAGTGAAAACTAGCAAGATGGTGAACAGACTTGTTAAATGCATTCAAAATCCAAATATTAATTATGTCTACCTCCTTTTCTTGACAAAGTATCTAAAGCAGAATTTGAATCATTTGTTGAATACTCTTACAAAATATCAGATATAAAAGAGTACTCACAGGATCTTTGTCAAGAGAATAAGAGGGCTGTTAAGAAGTTGGATCTTTCTTTGTAGGTTCTGGATATTAGCCCTTTGTCAGATGAGTAGATTGCAAAAATTTTCTCCCATTCTCGGGGCCTATCGTGGGGAGGAGGGAGGGGAGAGGGGTTGCATTGGGAGTTATACCTGATGTAAATGACGAATTGATGGGTGCTGACGAGTTGATGGGTGCAGCACGCCAACATGGCACAAGTATACATATGTAACAAACCTGCACGTTATGCACATGTATCCTAGAACTTAAAGTATAATAATAAAATAAACACATAAATAAATAAGTAAATAAAATAAAAAAAGAAGTTGGATCTTTCAATGAGTATGCAAATGTCAGGATAGAGAGCAAGTAAATAGCACTGGTTATTACTAAGAATTCTGAGATTTGAAAACACTCATCTTGGGTAATCTCTTTTCCCAATAATCTCCCATTAAATGCAAGTCATACTGAAATCTATTGTGTATTAGAAAATAGCTAAGCAAATTATTGATTGCCATTTTGTTTCAAGAAGGCAAAGAGATATCTGTTATATATCTTGACATCTTTGGGTTATATGCCACATTTTGTAAAAAAAAAAAAAAAAAAAAAAAAAAAAAAAAAAAAAAAAACAAAAAAACACATTGATTAATTAAGTTACCATGAATAGAGATGACTCACTTTATGCAAGGGTCGATTAATTAAGTTACCATAGACTAGAGATGACTCACTATGCAAGAGGTCTAATAGCCTGATCAATATGGGAAAAGCAAAGGCTACGTCTTTGCCCAGGCTCAGAAGGATAAAGGATACCATACATGCCATCCTCAAACTCAAGAGCGGCCCTCTTGATGATTCGTTCCCTTACGTCATCTCCAGGTTTAGCAGATTTGGCTTCCTCATCTCCCTCTTTCCGGATTGATAAACGCTTTAAATTAAACAGAAATAAATTATTCGTGGCTGAAGGTATGCTTTGTATTTTATCACTGCTGAAATAAATTTTACTGGAAAAAAGATGAGCTCGCTCCCATTATTATGAGACAAATCTGCAATATACCAGAGATTTAAAAAATACTATGGGTGATATTTGATGGTAGAAATAATTCTTTAGGAACTAAATGAAAGTGGTCAGATTTGTTTAAAAAGGAAGATATGCTCTTCAGTCTGTTTGAAGCAAATAATCTGTTACTATCATCACACTGTCTGCTCCTTCTGTTACTCTTCCAACTAACTTATCCTCTGGTGCACAGGGACTGGCCAGAAGAATGAAAGAGGAACAGACTTTGGGAATGTGTTTTTCAGGGCTGTCAGAATGTGTTTACCAGGTGTTGCTGCTGCCAATTGCCTGTTTCCACCTGCAAAGTCTAGACTACTTTTACCACAAGTGCATCACAGGAATCACAGAAATACGCAGAAACCAGCCAGGAAACTATTTCCTTTATTAAGTCTCTTTGACACAAACAGGCTCATGTTTGCAAAAGTCGCATCCTTTCTTCCTAGGCCCCGACACTGGTTTTGTATTATAAAATGTCTTCCTGTTTGATATCTATAAGTTAGATATCTCTGGCACCCTACTATATGTCTGTTCTGTTGCTGATCCCTAGACACTTCTGAATCATGATAGTAATTCTGGCAAAGTGGCCGTTCTCTGTTCTCACTGGCTGATGATTTAGATATGTGTCCCCTCCAAATCTCAGGTTGAAAAGTACTTTCCAATGTTGGAGGTGCGGCCTAGTGGGAAGTGTTGGATCATGGATGCAGATCCCTTATGAATTGGCTTAGTGCCATCCCCTGGGAAATGCAGGAGTTCTCCCTCTGTTAGTTTACACACCAGCTGGTTGTCTAAAGGAACCTGGCACCTTCTCTCTCTCTCGCCAGGTGACATGCCTGCTTCCCCTTTTCCTTCTGCTCTGAGGAAAAGCTTCCTGAGGTCCTGACCAGAAGCAGATGCTGGTGCCATACTTCATGTATAGCCCACAGAAGTGTGAGCCAAATAAACTTCTTTATAAATTATCCAGTCTCAGGTATTCCTTTACAGCAATGCAATAGGGACAAACACACTGGCCTTAGAATACCTTCAATGCTCCTGGTACCTACATTCCTTGCCACAATCTCATACTCACCAGCTACCCACAGCCCAAAGCTAATTAGAATGACATTCTGCACTCTAGAAAAGTGCAAAGCACCTTCAAGATAGACAATTTTGAACAACCAAACATTAAGATAAGACTTCAGCAGGGGTAAAACCACCAAAGACATGATTATTCTTATGTCCTCTCTAAGACAGCCAGAAAAACTATACTTCATAAATTAGGATAATAGAAGCCTGGTAGACACAGCCTAGAGAATCTCATGACATAGTGATACATATCTTGTGATGACAAGGCACTGTCAGGCTGCACAGAGGCATAGATCATCATATCCCCATTATGATAAGACACATGAGAAGCTCTTACTAAGATCCAAAACTAGACTTTCTGCTCAGCTCCAGTTCCCCATCATCTGGAATGGCCTCAAGGATGCATTATCTCTGTAACTGGATCCGTGAATACTGACAAAGCAGCTAAGTCAATTACCTCAATTCTTTTCTCATATTTTTCTCCCTTTATAAGGCGATGTACATAAATCTGAGGAATATGGATGTCTTCTGGAGCAAATGCTCCAATATCCACAATTTCTTCAACCTAGACAAACAGAAATTTCTTTCAAAGTTAGTGAAAGCTTAAAGTGAATATTTTTAATTTTTTTTAAAAGTATATACATCTTCACACACAACTTAGGCTGGATACACGATGTAAATATATATGACAGAACATGAACATTTATCTATGTATGGATATGTGCACATATGGGTAATGTCTATACACCTCCTGGACCCACAAAAGAGAAGAAATTCAAGTGCATGTTTCTGAACAGAAAATACAGACCATAGAGCTCCAGAAGTTAGCCTTTGCTTAAAAGAGTCTCAGTTACAAATTTGTCAAATTGTTTGTCAGTACGGCTGCTTGAACTTTCACAAATTGCAGCTCAACAATGCAAAACTTGATAGCACATTCCTTAAACACAGATTTTCCTAAATTAATGGGAAATTTATCATATCAAAGACAAAAATCTGTAATAACATCTGCATGGTCAATTGAAGAGCTTTTTAAATAAAGATACGAATGCTATTTGTAACAGTTGTAAATTATTCTTGTTAGCTTCCTGGGATTGTGATACAACTGCAATTGCTGAAATAATTTACTTAAAGACAGATAATTCCAATATGGAAACTCAAAACTAAAATATTAATTAACAACTAGAAATACTCAATTTAATTAGAATCAAAGTCATTCACCAAGAATAAGGTCATATCATAGCAACATGAAATGCCTACACATTAGTCTGTTATTTTAGAATTCATTTAAAAGACAATTTTTCTATCAACATAAAACAGTTCAAAATAACAAGGATCAAGAAAAACTAAACTTGACATTGTTGTGGTCAAAGAATTAGCTTTCTGGTGACACACAGGCACACAAACACACATACCTTTAAGTTGTGAGTACTCAGCTTAACAGATACACTATCTAAAGCAAATAATTGTTTACTTCCATGAACTGACTTATACAAGGAGAGTTGTATTGATTTTTGTTTCCTAAACTATTCACTGAAATCTGGAAATCTGTGAGGTTAAGTAGCCCTTCTTATGCTGTTGTACTACTATATGCCTTCACTAGGCTCTTCCTACAGTGCAAGAATACCAGGGCTTACAGAAGACATTTTACTTATCGTGCAATGCACACAAATAGCTGAAAAAGGCAAGGACATGGTGGATTAAAGCTATCATCTTTGATAAACAGAAAAATTTTGACCAAAATCAAACAAAAATTCCAAGGAAAGATCAGAAAACATGTCAGCATCCAAGTTGAACTACTGGGTAGAGAGGCCCCTGGGGATGAGTGAGGAGACAGGGAAAGTGGGGCCGAAGACCCCTTGCCACTGCACTCTATGTCCTCCCCTTGAAAACTCTCTAAGCTCCAGTATTTTCTATTCAAGGTGGAGGTGGGGAATGCAGAGCAGCTAAGCACTACTGCTACCTCTTCAACTGGCTGGAACTTTCAGCCATTAGGGCTCATTCACATCTTTACGTATTCAGTTTTAGCCTTCAAAGAAGTTCGTGACTTTAAAAATGTGTTTGTACATTAATCCAGTATCCTGAGGACAGGCATGAAGATTTATTATTCATGAAAATACTAACCTCAAAATTTATGGTGTATCCATGTGATTAATCAATATTATGCACTCATAATATTTAATGATATCTCATAATATCATGTTTCATAAAATCAAGATTTTGTATAAGTAAATAAAAATTTATAGAAATGCACTTTGGCATAGACAATTATTTATATACCTACAGAAAATAAAAGGAAACACATGGAAATGCCAAGAATTGTTATCTCTGGGTAACAGCACAAGTTGTTTTTATTTTCCTTTTACTTTTATAATCAAAGGGAAACCCACAATGTTGTTTTTTCAAAAGATGCGATAAACACTAAGTTTCTAAAACTAGGAGATCATAAGTGGGGCATGTGATGAATCTCACAATTAGTTAGACATGTACCAAAGAGGGCATGTTAAAAAGAAAATAGAGATTCCAAGAAAAACTGAAGTTTCTAAACCCTAAAAGCAGTCACAACATTATGAGCTAAACTAAGGAAACCCTTCTTGCCTGCATATTTGAAAATAATAATGCGAATTATTTTTCACGCCTAATGTTGCTCCAAAAGGTCAGGCCCTCAAATCTCTTGCTACAATTGAGACAGCAGCTTCCTATTTGGTCTTCCTGCCTCACCCTCTAGCAGGGGCAAGGAACATAATAAAAAAGGAAGAAAAAAAAATCAGTATTGCTCACTTAAACTGAAAATGCTGATGGGAACCCATCACTATTTTCTTTTGGTTCCACCAAAGAATGTTTCAACAGAAAACACCAAATCAAGACAAAGCTTCATTACCAAGGACAATTACATCATAACTCTCAGAACTAACAGAATGAATGTGTCCTGGTAAAACAACTCTGATAAGCAAGAATCTAGCTAAACCTAAACAATTACATGTTTTGTCATCCTAATATGAATGGCTTTCAGACTGTAGAAAACGCATGTGCAGCATTTGTCAAAATAACAACACTCAACAGTATTGAAAACATCTATACAAAAATCAAAGCTTTCTCAGAGTTGGTTAGCGGAGTTAACAGCTAAGAAAGAAAATATTTGAAGTACAAACCAAAAGAAGAAAACATGTTTTCAGACAATCTATGAAAAGAGTTAAAAAAAAAAAATGAAGAGGCAGAACTATCTTCATGCTAGCTATTGAAGGGACTGACTTCAGTGCCAGTTTTGTGTGATCTTGAGAACAGTAAGAAAGAAGCAATGGAAGGATTAAAAAGTCCAGTGAGATCAGGTGATAACATGAGCATTACTGGAAAACCTGATGAGAAAATGATGACTAAAATGAGCTGGTTAGGAAAAACATAAAAATAAAAGACCCCCAGATCCCTTACCAAAGACTGCAGAGTTTTCCTCCTGAAGTTAGAAATGGGTAAGACAGAATAAAGGACAAAGAAAAAGCCTCAGGGCAAAGCAATAGGCAGATCTAAGTGTCCTCAGGCAAGATCGAGATGGAAGAAAGGTAGCTAAGAACAACCTGGACTTTTCCATGGCACTATGAATAGAGCTCATGTCCCACCACTTGCTACAACCAGAAATCCAGACATTTGAGGCTTCTCTAATTGGTACTCATCTTCAGTCATTAACAGAAAAATAGAGACTAGGAAATGTTGTTATTGATTTGAACTTTGTTTTAAAAGGTTGCTTTCTCTGCCCTGCACTCCTCCTACTTTATAACTCTGCAAACTTATTTTAAAGCTTAGAGAAGGATAAGAATACATCCCTTGGTGACAATGTGTTTGTGATTGCTTGGCAAACATTACTTATATCTAGGTAAGGGAAAAGAGGAGCTGCAAGGCAATAACGTCCTCATTTTTTATTTTATTTTAGTGACAACCTCAATCTGTTATAGACACAAAAACGGGCCCAACCCTAAATGGTGTTAGTGAAAAATGCTGCACACCTGCAAAACTCTGTGTATGATACAAAGTAAGGGCTGTTGAGGGGGAGGAAGGGGAAGACTCACATTCCAGGCTTTCTTTCTGACTCATTTTAAGTTTCAAAAAAGTTTAGGAGGAATGTGCTTCTTTTGCCAAAAAGAAAAGAAAAAATCAGAAAACAAGCAATAACGTCTAGAATCATGAGAAACATTAACTCCAAAAGAGAGGGGAGAAAAAGCAGCTGTGGAAGACTAGAAAAATAGAAGGGGGAGACAATAAGCAATAAGAGAAGTTACAAGTTAAATGCAGAGGTGCTCTGGAAGTTAAAATGAGTAAAATGAAGAGAAAATGTGAATAAGACCTCATGTTCAATAGATCAATAGGATAACTATAGTTAATAATCTACTGTACCTCTCAAAGCAGCTAGAAGAGAATAATTTGAATGTTCTTAGCATAAAGAATAGATAAATATGGTAATGGATATCCCAATTACCGTGATTTGATCTTTATGTTATACGAATGTATCAAATTATCACAGGTACCCTGAAAACATACAGGTCTATTATGTATCAAAAAAAATAATTTTTTAAACAAGAGGCAATGTAGAGAAAGGGGAGGTCAGCATGCAAGGCATCTTTCTCAAAGATTCAAATGAAGAGAAAAAAATCCAAAGGAGCAAGAAAGTGAATATATTCTTAGGCTTCATGCTAAGGAATGATAGAATCAGTACAAAAACATGGAAGAAAATGGTATGAAAGCTAAAAGGCCAAGGACAGATACATATGGTCTTAGATGTCTATAAGGAAATGCACAAAGATGGAAAGGTTGAGGGGCTACTAACGAATTCGCAACCTTTAAAATGGTGGTACATATGATTGCGTAGTCATTATTGAAACCGAGTAGATGGGATCTCCTGCCAACAGACATTCCACAATGCCCAATGAAAAATAAACATAACAAAAAAGCATGTTCTGTCAAGAAAATATGCATACAACTGGGATGCCACTGACCTAGGCATGAAGTGTGGTAAGGAATATTTAAAGTGAGTTTAAAGGGAGAAAGAATATCACACTGATCGTTATATAATGCCCAAAGACAGAGATGATATATTTGTAATAGAAGTGACAAAAATTGGTTCAAATAAGAGATGCCAATTATTTGAACATCTTCTATTCATCACAGTCTGCTGATAACTCTGTATTGCCTTCTGGTAACTTCTGTATTGCCTTCAGAACAAAACAGTGAGAGAAACCACGATTCAGGACCTCTAACTAGCAAGAATAAATTGCTTGGTAAAGTAGAAATGACAGAAATATTGAGGAAAAAATGACAATGTAAAATTGGAATTGGAAATAGACCAGGAAGTGAATCCTAAACGTACACAGAAATATATCCTGGTCTTTGAAGAAAAGATTTCAGTAAGTTCAGAGAAAAGAGAAGCAGGATCAAGAGGTCAGAAACTCAAAATGACAAATGGGCTTATGAAAGATGAGGATTGCAAAACTTCCATTCTGACAATATGAACATGGGTTATATTGACAAGGAAGAGAATGGTTATAAAGAAATGAGTGTAACAACATGGATAGCTTTGTG